CAATCCATGATCATCTTAATACCCGTCACTCCTTCCGACTAACGGACCATTTCCGGACGTGGTTATTAGCTGGCCATGTCATGAGTAAACAACTCAATTTTTCCCTTCAAAGACGAAGTATGAGCTCTACTTACCAGATGGTAGGCTGTCAAGAAAAGCGCTTGCCACACTAGGATAAATGCCCTGTGACCGTCATTTAGAGTCCTGTTGCCAGCAAATCCTTGAAATTGAAGGAAACGGCATTATTCACTTTTTACCCCATTTTTCGAAGTAACCAATTTTCTAGTCATGTCCGCCAAATTTCTTAGGAATCCAGTCGTGAACATCTCCTGTCCGGATCGAAAATAGGAGAAGGTTCTCAAATTTGTCGTAGGATTTCGGGAAAAGGATCTAAGGCTCGAAGTTCGTCTACGATCGCCAATATTTTCTACTTATTTTTTGCTTGGCGCAACTAAAAATTTATTCGTATTTTTTATCCATAAAGTAAAATCCATAGTAAAACTACCAATTGTTAAGGAATGCTTTCGTATGTTCAAAGCACTTTGAATTAACAGTTGTACTAAACATAAGTGATATGCAAAATACAAGTTTGAATGTCATAAGCCAAGAAGGGCCAACTTCTGAGATTACTGTAAAGTGTAAAATCTGAGGAAAATCATATTCTTTAAAATCTGAACGTAATCTATTCTAGCCACAGCTATTGAAAAAGGAGAAAGTTAATCCGAATCCGCACTGAGCGATAAAGTACTGATCGATCCCGTCGCTTCACTTTGTCAGTACTGAGTTTTTTGCTCTTTATTTGCCCATAGCTTGAATGGTCGGAGGTAATCGGTTGATGGGAGCTGCTCCAATTTCCTAAATTCACAAAATACAATGCGCTGGTCAGAATAACCCAGGCCTCTTCCCCGGGTTCGTTTGTGAAGAAGGGGTGGGATCGAACGATTGTTGTGAACTACATGACAGTCCCCTGGTCAGAACGAATGCCCTTTTTCCGGGTTACCCTGGAAAGAAGCTGGTCTAAGGTAGGTCCGAACGATTGTTGTGAACTACACCGT